CCTCCAGCTCCATACTGTTATCTCTTATTATCTATTTGATCTGGCTTTAACATTTAGCAGTCACACTTAAGTATTTTTTTTACAAGTGATCAAGTTGTATGTGTGGGTGTTTGCTACTTTGTGCGTACTGTAAGCAGTTTAGCGAGTTGCATTTTACAGCGTGATAGTCCTACAAATGATTGGGAAGCTTCAGGCTAGGTGTTTCTCGTTTTTGAGTTTCAATTGCTGATGGATGTTCCTGCTGGCAAAACTAGAAGAGACAAGTGATTGTTAAGGTATCGTTCTCATTGGTTCCCCTAGAGAGGTGAGCCAACCCAATCCTGAAAAGGATTGTCTTAAACTGACCCCTCAATCACCAAATAACCTCCGGCCTGCATTAAAATCAGACAAGCCAAATTGGTAGCACAGAGAATGCTGGAGAAATGCAGCAGGGCTGGCAGCATCTTTAGACAGAGGAACAGAGTTAACATGTTGAGTCTGTTTTTTGTTAAATTCACTCTCAGGATGTACGCAGCTCTAGCTAGGCCTGCATTTATTTCCCATCCCTAATTACCCAGAGGGCAGTTAAGACTCAGCCATATTGCTGTGGGCCTGGAGTCACACGTACGCCAGACAAGGTAAGAATGGCAGTTTTTTTTCCCATTAGCGAACCAGATGGGTTTCCCCCATCAATCAACAACGGATTATCATTAGACTCTTAATTCCAAACTTTTTAATTGAAATTCCACCATCTGCCATGGTGGGATTTGAACCTGGGTTCCCAGAACAGGGGCTGAGTTTCTGGATTAATACCACCAGGCCGTTGCCTCCCCTTTGTTGGCATTTCTGCAGAACCCCTTTTTTTCAGATTTCTGCAGTATTTTGCTTTATTTTGTGAAGTTATTTGGCGACTGCTTTGTAATGGCTTCTGGATATCACAGTCCTGCCTCTCCCAGCTTTGATCATCACTAACTGATTGATTGGCAAAGGAATTGGGCAAATCTGCCACTCTTAAACAGGTGTTTCTTTTTTAAGAATGAGATGCCTCTTTGACAGTGAGCAATGCCCCACCACCAGATCATCTCAGTAATGAGCTACCTGGTTTCAATGATGAGACAAGTATAACTGAGGACAAGTGATCTTTCATTCACTTCCACAGGCATAAACTGACCAATCGTTGAGGGGTTTCTTGTGGTGATAGTGATAACAGTAATGTCAGTGGTGATGCTTACTCTGTAAGCTTTGCCAAACTATATAAGGCACCAGCTGGATCACTGTGAACAGTTTTCACAGAATCCCTACATTATGGAATCAGGCCTTCGGCCCAACAAGCCCACACCGAACCTCAGAGCATCACACCCAGACCCACCCCCCTGTAACCCACCTAACCTACACATCCCTGAACACTACGGGCAATTTAGCATGGCCAATCCACCTAGCCTGCACACCTATGGAGGTTGGGAGGAAACTGGAGCACCCAGAGGAAACCCACACAGACACAAGGAGAATGTGCAAACTCCACACAGACAGTCGCCCGAGGGTAGAATCGAACCCGGGTCACTAACGCTGTGAGGTAGCAGTGTTAACCACTGTGCCACTGTGCCACCGTGCTGCTGCAAATTTGGGTCCCTTTTCTAAGGAGAGTATATCTTCCCTTAGAAAAGGGGCCCAAAACTGTTCACAGTGATCCAGAGGCAGCCCAGAGAAGGTTCACCAGGCTGATACCAGGTATGGGGGGACTGTCTTATGAGGACAGTTTGAGTAGACTGGGCGTGTGTTCCATTGGAATTTAGAAGAATGAGAGATGACGTCGTAGAAGCATACAAGATTCTTAGGGGATTTGACAGGGTAGGTGTGAAAAGTAGTTTCTCCTTGTGGGAGAGTCTAGGACCAGATGGCATCATCTCAGAATGAGGGGTCAAACATGAGTCAAACAAGAGATGAGGAATTTCTTCTCTCAGAGGGTAGTGAATCTGTGGAATTCTTTATCCCAGGGGCCTGTCCAGGCCGAGTCTTTAAGTAACTCAAGGCTGAGACAGACAGATTTTTATTCAGTGAGGGAATCAAGGATTATGAGGCAAAGGCAGGAAAGTGGAGTGGAGGATTATCATGACCTAATTGAATGGAGAATCAGGCTCGATGGGCTAAATGGCCTACTCTGCTCTAAATCCTCTGATCTTATGACCTTAAGTCACACGGTGCTATGGAATAGTATTAGGCTGTCTTGAATGATATAGAAGCACCCAGTCTATTCCAGCCTGCACTAAACACTCTGCCATTGTGGTCTCCCACTGCTTCTTTGTCAGGGGGATCCCTGTTTCTCTAGCTTCTGCAAATGGATGTTGTTCCAGTTCTTCACCATCCACCCACGTAACTCACCTCCATGTGGACGGTACATCATCACACTCTCCTGACTTCCCAAACCACCCCGAGCTACGCCAGAGAGCCCCTTCACTCAGGGATCAAAGGAAACATTTCAAAGGCCAGACTAATTCCTGGGATGGTGGGACTGATGTAGTGAGGGGACAGTAGGTCACCGCAGGATAGAAGAATGTAGGGGGAAATTTTATAGAAACATACTAAATTCTGAGAGGATGAGACAAGGTCCATGCAGGAAGGATGCTCCTGATGACCAGGGAGTCCAGAACCAAGGGTCACAGTTTAAGGATACAGGGTAGGCCATTTAGGACTGAGTGAGGAGGAATTTCTTCAGTGGTAAGCCTGTGGAATTCTCAGCCATAGGCAGCTGAGGCCAAAGCATTATGTCTGTCCTAAAAGCCTTCAGATATAATTCTTCAGGGTTTAGGGATCAAAGGGCATAAAGTGCGAAGTGGGGACTGAGTTGGATGATCAGCCGTGATCATGTTGAATAGCAAAAAGCAGGCTCATCAGACTGAATGGCCGACTCCTGTTCCTATTTTCTGTGTTGTTACAACTTTAAAGCCTTCAGGAATGAAATGCCCATTTGCAACCAAAATGACGAACCATTAAAATGGGATCAATACCTCCTGCCCCCAAGAGCAACCATAGAGGGCGAGTGCCAAGAGAGAGCAAAACTTGAACCAATAAGCTAGCACTGTCTGTACCCATGACAACTGATGCCTTCACAGTGGAATAGCCTGTAGGAGCAATCAGGCTTATAAACCATCCCAAACCCACTACCAACAATGAAATCTCACACAGCAATCTACAAGAAAGAAACATCCATAATACAAGAGATGGCTTGTCAATGGAAATTTTATGAAAAGGCTTCAACTCATGTGCGTAAGTGGTCTTTGAAATGGGTAATTGCAGAGGCATCTGGGAGAAATGATGATCTTATTCTGTTTGTTTTCTACAGGTGATCCCAGTGAAAGAGAGTGCATTGACTGATGGCTGACCTAGGTAAGAAACAGGAGATAAACTGAGCTCACATAAAATGCCAATTTGTGTGAAAAACCAAAAAGTGCCAGCAGAATATATTGAACATGTACAGCAGTCCCTGGGGAAAGAAAAGACAGTGTTTTGGATGAGGCTTCTATCTTCAGAACAGATATATTTCTATTCAGTAAATGTATTCAGTGGCTGGCTGATGTGAATTGCATAATAAAGTCGATGGGTTAGAGATGCTTCCTGGCCTGTAATGAATGGCATATGTGACACGTCTGTTATATGTCATACTCAGTACACGGTTCTATTGAAGATATCCAGAACTGATTATCATGGGGTAGCATCATTTACAGTGATAGTGCATGATCGGTGTATCACAGCCATCTAAAACAGATCACTACCCAATAATTACTTAGAAAATTTGATGTTATTTTCATTCATTGAGCTGATTTTCAAAGAAATGTCTTTTTTAAAAAAAATCAGGTGCAAACCAACTGTTAGCGTATGGATTTTATCCACAGTGGATTGGGAGAGTTTAATGTGAAGGCTCAGCTCAGGTTTCCAATGGCAATTGAGGAACAATATGAGCAGCTGGTATCTTTTTGTAAAAACTTAAATATGTAACATTAATTTGGCTATGCTGTGTGAGAGTAGCTTCTGTTCCTGGGTTCAAACCACTCACTCGCCTGCCTACCCTTTCTTAGTGCCTTTCCAGCAACCATCCCTCCTTTCCTCGAGGCATCTCTACCACCTGTTTTGTGGTCCACTTCTGCCAAGGCAGTAAATTCCCATTCTCACAGTGACCAGCACAGTGGCACATAGGAACAGGCCATTCAGCCCCTCAAGCCTGTTCCACCATTCAGTGACTGATCTGTGGCCTAATTCCATAGACCTGCCTATGGCCCTTTATCCCTTAATACCTTTGCTTAACAAAAAATTTATCCAACACTCCCCACTTTCCTGTCCTTTCCCCATAACCCTTGATTCCCCAACTGATCAAGAATCTATCGATCTCAGTCTTAAGTATACTCAAAGATTCTGCTGCCATAGATCTCAGCGGGAAGGAATTCCAAAGACACTCAACCCTCTCAGCAAAGAAATTCCGCCTTCTCTCAGTCTTAAATTGGTGCCACTTAATTCTGAGCCTATGCCCTCTGGTCCTCGACTCTCCCATGAAGGGGTAACGTGATGTGGAGGTGCCGGTGTTGGACTGGGGTGGACAAGGTTGGAAGTCACACAAGACCAAGTTACAGTCCAACAGGTTTATTTGAAATCACAATCTTGTGTAGCGCTGCCCCTTCATCAGGTGAATATTGATGAAGTAACAGTGCGTTGAAAGCTTGTGATTTCAAATAAACCTGTTGGACTGTAACCTGGTGTTGTGCAACTTGTGACTACGAGTGGAAACATCCTCTCAGCATTTATCCTGTCAAGCCCCTTAAGAATCCCATCTGCTTCACTCCAGTGAGTTGAATCCCAATGTGTTGAGCGTTTGTAGATAAAAGATTCTTGGGAGGTGGTTTAACAATGGACCCAATTATCCTCCAGGATTCAACTGAACTCTTTATAATACCCATGTAAGTACTTAAGAGGGGACAGGCAGTCGGAACTAAAGGGCAGAGAATTGCTTATATTGGCTTCTACCAACTCTAAAAGTACTTTGTGAGCTTAACAAATTGGGGCCAGAGAACCTAGGATCACTAAGTTTGTGATCCTTGACCATCTGAATGAAACACTGCCACCTGCTGGTTAATGCAGCAGAGGTCATGTGACATTTTTCCGACTTGGCATTACATACATTTTCATGCTGAGTTACTCTTACACTGGAAGTTCACTCATTCCTGGTTCCCCTAGCTTCACTTTCTGCTGAAATAAATCCTCTGAGTTAGCATTCTAAAGCAGTTAATGTTTAGAATCCAGTGACCCTTTTTCAGAATCTTTATGCAGATTCGACCTGTTTCCTCAAGAATTTGGAAAGTTAAGGGATGATCTGATCAAAGTCTTCAAGATATTAACTGGAAAGGAAAGCCTAGATAAAAATACACTACTCCCATTGGTTGGAGATTCTAGAACTAGGGGACATAGTCTGAGAATTAGGGCCAGACCATTCAGGAGAGATGTTAGGAAGCAATTCTACACACAAAGGATGGGAGAGGTTTGGAACTCTCTTCCACAAATGGCAGTGGATTTTAATTTGAAATCTGTGATCGATAAATTTTGTTAAGCAAAGATATTCAGGGAAATGGGCCAATGGCAGGTGTATGGAGTTAGACTTCAATCCCATTGAATGGTAGAACAGGCCAGAGGGGCTGAATGGCCTACTCCTGTTCCTGTGTTCTTTGACAATGCACTATTGGTTTTAGTTCCTAATGCACAAGTCATGGACAGCCAATAATCACACCAAAGTAAGCCTATCAGATATTCCAAGGCCCATGACCAAACTCTTCCCATTCCTGATGGTGCTGAATACTGAATGTTTGTAGGTGTCTTAAGCTTAGGCTCACGGTGAGCAGATGGCAATGGTTCAAGTACCCTGTGAAACATGGCCATATCCACAGGCACATTGGGCATCAACAGCCACAATCTGAGTTGGTGCACTGGAAATACTCAGCAGGCATGGCAACAACTGGCGAGAAGTGAGGTTAACATTTTGTAACGGACCAGACCTGAACCCCTCAATATATTTCAAGGAGCTAGCCTGGACCTTAACCCTTTCTTATTTCAAAGGTAGATGTGAAGTGCCATGTTCCAGATGCAATGCGACTGGTCAAACTACTCAATGTTAAACAAAACACAATTTATTTAAACACTATAGTTAAAATACAAACAAAAGAAAGAGGAATTTAGAGTAACTTAACTCTATTGGAAAACTTAAAAGAATGATAGATGCAGTAACTATTACTAATTAACTGTTCTAATATAGTAACTCCTCATAAACACACCCCTTGACAAAAAGGAAAACCCAAACACAGATTCTCACGTGCAGTTCTCTAATCCAGAAAGAAACCCAATGTCAAGAGAAGAGAAGAGTTTTGACTTGATAGAGGTGTACAAAATGATCAGAGGTATAGAGTAGACAGCCAGAGACTTTTTCCTAGGGTGGAGGTAGCTTTTACGAGGGGACATAGTTTTAAAGTGAAAGGAGGGAGATATCGGGGAGATGTCAGAGGTAGGTTCTTTACTCAGAGAGTGGTAGGGGTGTGGAATGCATTGCTGGAGAGGGTAGCGGAGTCGGCCTCATTAGGGGCATTTAAGCGGCTATTAGATAGGCATATGGATGATAGTATAAGGTAGGGGTGGAGGTTAGATAGACATTAGGCTTAGGGTAAAAGTTCGGCACAACATCGTGACCCGAAGGGCCTGTACTGTGCTGTACTGTTCTATGTTCTATGTTCTATGAGTCAGAGAAAGTAGTAGCCAGGAGATATTCACTTGAAGCTTCCAACTCTATTGCCCCCCCATACAGCTTCTGATGTTACTGAACAAACCAAAACCCAGAAATCCTGATCTGTGAGAGCTGGCCACACCTATTCAGGCTGTTGAAAAAAACACCCAAGGCCTCTCAAGTTGTTTAGACAAGACATCTTAAGTAGCTGGTTCAGTACCTCTGCCTTATAACCTCTCTTCTAGGACAATATAACCTTTTAAAGTGACATCATTGTCGCAGTTTCAAGTCAAGTATGATTTCTTCAAGGACATGTTCACACAGATGGAGTGTTTGTTAGATTAACAGGACAGTTTGATTGCTGTTTTCTGGTGAATAGGTGGTTACACTATATGTGGTAATATTTGATTTGTAAAGACATTTATGTATCTCGCTTGTTTTTGCATGTTGCGATTTTAGGAACTGATCCTCAGTCATCTAAGTCTGAGCCGCTGGTAAATAATAAAACTCCTGCAACCCAGCCTCCTGCAGCCTTTCCAGCTGAAGCATATCCATATGGAGCCTATCCTCCTGGTGCATTTCCTCCTGGGGTATATCTGCCTACTGCCCAGCAGCCTGTTGCCCATCCACCTGGGGTCTATAGCAATCAAGTTCCTCTCGGACCAGGTGGTATTCCAATGATGGCAGCACTGAGCAGGATCCCAAATTGCCCACCGGGTCTGGAGTATCTCACTCAGGTAAGTGAGCATTTGTTGAGATCTTCCTGATCAAGGTGTGTGCGTTGGTCAAGTAGAAAGCTTGAACAAACACGGAGAATGTTGGAGAAACTCAGTAGGTCTGGCAATCTCGAAGAGAAACAGAGTTAACGGTTTGAGCCTCGTATGACTCTTCTTCAGAACTGAAATGTTTGGAAAATGGTGGTTTTCAAACTTAGGCAGAGGAAAATTATGGAAAACAGATGGTGTAGGCGCCCAGTGCAAAAGACAAAGGGATTGCTAACTGCACTGGAAGGGAAATAGAGAGGTAAAGCAGTTGTAAGTTAAAGTGTGAAAGGGAACAAAATGGTTCATCTTGATTGAAAGCTATGTAAACAAGACACCAGACAAGACGAGGCCAGGGGACATGGGGAAAGAGGGGGAATGTATGAAAAGTGAAGGACATCCATATGATCAGGCTGTGAAGTTGTGGAATTCAATGTTTAGATCTCGAAATTGTGAAGTATCTGAGCAAAAATGAGATGCTGGTCTTCCAGCTTGCCACAATATATAGGAACAGAATTAGACGATTCAGCCCATTGAATATCCTCCACCATTCGATCATGACTGATATGTTTCTCAACTAATTCTCCTGCCTTCTCTGCATAACCCTTGATCCCCTTACGAATCAAGAACTTTTCTAGCTCTGCCTTAAAGGCACTTAATGACTTGATCTCCACAGCTCTCCGCAGCAATGAGTTCCACAGAGCCACCACCCTCTGGCCGAAGAAATTCCTCCACATCTCAGTTCTGTAGGGTTGTCCCTTCACTCTGAGGCTGTGCCCTCGGGTCCTAGTCTCTCCTACTCTTAGAAACATCTTCTCCACATCCACTCTATCCAAGCCTCTCAGTATTCTGTGCATTTCAATCAGACTCCGCCACCCCACCCCCCCCCCCCCCCCCCCCCCCCCTCCCCCCCCCACCGCCCAATCTTCTGAACTCCATTGAGTACAGACCCAGAGTCTTCAACCTCAGAGTTCTTGTGTTGTACTTCATTTGAGTATTGCAGCAGGTTCAGGGCAGAAGTGGTAGCAGGAGTGCAAGGTGATTTATTGAAATTGCAAGGAATTGGAATTTCAGGGTCATTCCTATAGTCAGAGCAGAGTTGTTCCACAAAGCAGTCATGTAGTTTGTGCTTGGTTCATCCATTGCAAAGGAGACAGCAATAGCAGCAATGAAGACAGTAGACTACATTGGAAGAAGTGCAAGTAAAATGCTGCTTTGACTGACAGGTATGTTTGGGGCATTAAACAGTGAGGAGGGAGGACATGAATGGGCAAGTGCTCGATTAGCTCAGTTGACTGGATAGCCAATTTGTGACATAGAGTGATGCCAACAGTATGGATCCCATTCCCACACTGGCTGAGGTTACCTTAAGGGACTCTCCTTCTCAACTTCTCCCCTTGCCTGAAGCATAGTGACCCTCAGGTTAAACCCACAACCAGTCATCTCTGACCAATGAGAGAGATCAGCGCAATGGGCTGGTAGGACTATAGGAACTTTACCTTTTTACCTTCTGCGATTGCAGGGGAAGGTGCCTTGGAGGAGTGAGCTCTGGATCAGGGTACCCTAGAGGGAATGTTCCTTGCAGAATTCTGACAGTGGTGGGGGCTTAGATGTGTTTGGTGACATAATGCTGGAAGTGGCAAAGTGGCGAAGGGTGATCCTTTGAATGTGGAAGCTAGTGGGGTGGAAGATGAGGGAAATCCTCTTATTGTTCTGAAAATGAGGGGAAAAGTTAAGGGCGAAAGTGTAGGAGACATCTCAGACACGTTAGGGGTTGTTCAAACAAGATCATTTTCCAACCTCTTTCAATTCAGAACAAGAATCATATCAGACTTAATGTTAACTCTGTTTCTCTGTTCGCAAATGCGGCCAGACCTGCTGAGTTTCTCCAGCACTCTATGATGGTTTTAGATTTCCAGCATCCACAGTATTTGCATATGTGTAGATTTGTCATAACACATCAATTCTAATTTTAAATGAGCTATGAACCACCTGTTCATGCTTCAGAGGCTAACGCATCGTGTTCTCTTGAATAATGGACAGTGTGCAAAGGAGATTTACTAGAATGATACCAGGACTGTGGGATTTTAAATACAAGGAAAGATTAGAGAAATTTGACTTGTAGTTCTTGGAGCAGAGAATATTGAGAGGTGCCCTTGTTGATGTTTTCAAAATTATGAACAATTTTGACAAGGTGCAGGAGGCAGTAACTAGAGGGCCACAATGTCAAGACTGTCAGCAGGAGAGCTCGGAGTGAAATGAGGAGAAACTTCTTTACTCCAAGAGTTGTTAGGATTTGGAATACACTGCCTGGGAGAGTGGTGAAGGTGGATTCCATAGAAGGTTTCAAAAGAGAGTTAGATATATATCTGAAAGTGACGAATTTAGAGGGCTATAGAGATGGGGTCAGAGAATGGGACTCGCTGGGTCGCTCTTTCAGCAGCTGGTACAAACACGATAGGCCGAATGGCCTCGTTTTGTACTGTAACATTTTATGATTCTAATGATCATTTTCACACTTCTTTTGTTTGCCCTGTTAGGGAATACAAGGCTCCTGAGCACTCATTGACAAAACTGCAATGTAATGCCATTGAAAGTGTTAAGGGCTTGCAAAGTCATTCTTAGCCCTAAACACCATAGTTGTTTAGGCACGCGTTTGTGATTGCAGTGTTTTGACAAAATCAAAGCCACTGCTCTGTTCTGAGATCGCTCAAAAATGAGTAATCCTGTACTAGTTCTTCAATATCATTTCATGCTTAAAATTGCACACAACATTTCAACTGTAGCCCAGATAAAAAGCTAAATCCCATTTGCTGCCTTCAACATTTTAAAACCATGCCCCTTCCATTTTTAAAGATCATTGTATCAAGTAGCATGGAGACATGTTTCAATGTTCACTCAATTAAATCTTGCCATTTAGGACACGCTTTCATTCATTGTTCTTTCTGCCAAATTGCCACAATTCATATTTCTCTGCGATACCTTTCTCTGATGTTACCTTGTCTATTATTGTAGTGTGTCTACTTCAAATGAGTAACTTAGCACATCCGTAACATTTCTCGGCAAAAGGAGTTCCACAAAACCCCCGACTGTTTAATATCACAGATAATAATTACCAGGCTGCAGTTATCCGTAGCTTAAAAACCCAGCCCTTGGAAAACTAAATCTTTCAAGAAAAATAACACCAACATCTTGTTTCACCAGCATTCTCTATGTTTGTTTCAGATTTCCAGCATCTGCAGGATTTCACTTTTAAATAATCAGTCACTTTAGTCAGATCAACCTCGTCAGTAATTCTGACTATTTGGGATTATTTGGAATAGTTGATATTGTAACTGTAGCCATCAATACAAGAGCTAGAATTATATCTATTGCTGTTTCCACATTACCATTTGATGTGCTGGCTCTAAAATTGTGAACAAATTTGAGCATATAGGCTGCTAATATCGCAAATAGTAATCTCCAGGCTCTAGCTTTTTTGAGCAGTGCCTCTAATTTGTGGACCTCAAAGCTAAGGCTTTCAAAAAATGTGAAGAATAGAGAGCCACAACCATCTTGTTTGTGTTGCACCTTTAACATTATAAAAAGTCACAAGACTGTCTCAAATCCAAGTCTCCAAATATAAAGTAGACATTAAACAGCTGAAAGTAGCACTGTCCATTGTGGGTACATTTCTCCTGTGAGTCCCCCATTTATTGCTTGAAGCTGCCTTTCTAAAATTTCCAATGTACTGGGGACGTTGCCACGGAAATTGTTTGTTGACGGTGTTCACAAACTGAATCATAAACTTCGACGGGTACCAGAGGGCAGATCTTGGCAAAAGTGCCGGTGTTGTGTCTGTGTGTTTGCATGGTCTGTAGTTGTCGGAATCAAATACTGTTCCTTGTTTCATTTTCAGCAATGTTGTGGGTGAGCCCTGAACTTTTGTTTGTTCAGTTGGATATCTGATATGCGAAGCAATCTAACAAGCACCTTCAGACAATTAAGAATTCCACTTAAGCAGCCTTGCTGTTTCCCTGATTAGTCCTGCGCACACTCTCTCAATACAGGGAGACACTGTAATTACCTAATTACAGACAGCCTTATGGAACCCCAAATGGTTATGCTGGAGTTTAACATTAATCTAAATGGTGACAATATATCTGATGCAGACGAGGTCTGGAAAATGGATCAAACACATTAGCAACGTTCCATGATAACA